CTCTCTGAAATAAATAAAAACGTATTTTTTTTTAAAAAAGGAATGCTGTCACATGCTACAACATGGATGAATCTTGAGATTATGCTAAGTGAAATAAGCCAGTCACAAAAAACAAATACTGTATGATTTTACTTGTATGAGGTATCTAAAGTAGTCAATTTCATAGATAGTAGCATGGTGGTTACCAGGAGTGTTATGATATGACACAGCAATTCCATGTCTGGGGTGTGTGTGGGAGGGGGGAATAAGGAGTTGTTTAATGGATACAGAGTTTCAGTCTTGCAAAATGAAAAAGTTAAAACGTTAGAGAGTCACTGCAAACAGTGAGTACAGGCATTTTCCAGTTTCCCAAAGTGAGCATTATTCTACTTTGTTTTTAGGAAAGACCTACAGTGTGTTTTATTTCTAGCATTTCCTTTTTTTGTTTTTTAAATATATTCTTATTGATTTCAGAGAGGAAGGGAGAGGGAGAGAGAAATATCCGTGATGAGAGAATCATCGATCAGCTGTCTCCTGCACACACACACCCGCTACTGGGGATAGAGCCGGCAGGCAACTGGCATGTGCCCTTGACTGGAATCAAACCTGGGACCCTTCAGTCTGCAGGCTGATGCTCTATCCACCGAGCCAAACCAGTCAGGGCTAGCATTTCCTTTTGATTGTTCCTTAGAGTTTCCATCTCTCTGCTTACATTACCCATCTAGTCTTGCATTTTGTCCACTTTTTCAATTAGAACTCTTAGCATATTAGTCAGTTGTTTCAAATTCCTACTCTGGTAATTCCAACATCTTTGCCATGTCTAAATCTGGTGCTGATATTTCCTCTGTCCAAGCCGTGCTGTCTTTTAGTATGCCTTGTAGTTTTATGAACGCCAATATGTAAAAGGAACTGAGGTAAGTAGGCCTTTCGTATGAGGCTTTATGTTTATCTGGCTTGGAGTTAGGCTGTGTTTACTGTTTGCTGTAGCTATAGGTGTTAGAGGCTAAAATTTCTTGTGTCCTGGTTTTTGTCTCCTCTGCTTTGTATTTCCCTAGAGACTTTTCAAATAGGGTCTGAGATGTGCAGTTCTTTCTGTTATAATCCTGTTATTATGTAGGGGCCTGACTGAGGTGGCAGTAGGGGTTGGGGAAAGGAAGCATTCTATAGTCCAATGACTAGATGTCAGTCTTTAGTGAGCCTCTGCCCCAGGGCTTTGCCGTTCACTGTGCCGTTCACTGGTGTTTCCCAATTGCTGGGTACCCATCTCCCCCCACACACCCCTTAGCTGAGGCAGAAAGGCTAAAGAGCTCTGGACTTGGTATCTCCCTTCCCCCACAGGAAAGGCTGCAGTAGGCTGAGTTGGGTACCTCCCTTCCTCAGGTCAGTTAGACTCTGGTTAAATAGTTTCTCTTGAGGGCAGGCTATGTTAAGGAGGGCAGAATGCTTTGGGTGTATTTTCTTTTCTTTTCCAGGACTTATTTTATTATTATATTTTTTATGTTTTTAGAGAGAAGGAGGGAGAGGGAGAGAGAGATAGAAACATCGATGAGAGAGAATCATCAGTTGGCCTCCCAACACCCCACACTGGGGATCGAGTCCGAAACCTGGGCACGTGCAGTGACCGGAATCGAACAGTGACCTCCTGATTCTTAGGTTGATGCTCAACGACTGAGCTACGCCAGCCAGACTCCAGAACTTATTTTAAATTTATTTTCAAAAATTCTATTATTGAAAAAGCGGAAACAAGAGTCTCACCTGTGTCCCCACCTGCACACTCGCTCAGGCGCCCACGGAACTGGCAGAGGCGCCCAGAGAGAGCCAACCAGCGGCAACTCCATGCCCCACCCTCCCAGTCCTGTAGCCGCCCCCGCCGATGGGTGTCCCCACCATCCTCCCTGACCCATGGCGCTGAAGTGGATTCAGAAAGAATTAAGTGATCTACAGCATGACCCACCTGCTCACTGCTCCCCCGGACCTGTAGGAGACCACTTGTTCCACTGGCAAGCAACTGTTATGGGGCCTCCTGATAGCGCATATCATGGCAGAGTCTTGTTTCTCACTGTACATTTTCCGACAGACTATCCTTTTAAACCACCAAAGATTGCTTTCACAACAAAATTTATCATCCAAACATAAACAGTAATGGAAGTATCTGTCTTGATATCCTGAGGTCACAATGGTCACCAGCTCTGACTGTATCAAAAGTTTTATTGTCCATATGTTCTCTACTTTGTGATCCTAATTCAGATGACCCCTTAGTACCAGATATTGCACAAATCTATAAAACAAAGAAACATACAACAGACACATAAGAGAATGGACTCAGAAATATGCAATGTAAAATAAAAAAATTCATATATACCAGAGTACTGTAAAATGTTTTTTTCAATATTAGCAGTAAATTGAGCAGTTTTTTGTTTCATCATATCATGAAATCCTTTGATTTTTATCCATTTTTAAATGTATTTCTGAAGCAAGACAAAACAAACTTCCAAAAATACCCTTAAGACTGTGATGAGAGCATTTATCATTTTGTATACATTGAGAAAGACATTTATTATGGACTTTAAGATACTTGGACATCTGCATCTTCAGCTTACAAGATCTACAAACCATCTGAAAAGTAACCAAATTATTTTTTGCTGAAATTAGATGTTTTTACATGAATACTGTGTTATGTGTTGTCTGTGTCGTCAGTTTTATAAATCTATTTATTGATGTCAGAGAGGAGGGGAGAGGGAGAGAGAGATAGAAACATCCATGATGAGAGAGAATCATGGATCAGCTGCCTCCTGCATGCCCCACACTGGGGATCAAGCCCGCAACCCGGGCATGTGCCCTGGACCGGGAATCGAACCGTGACCTCCTGGTTCATAGGTCGACGCTCAACCATGGAGCCACGCCGGCCGGGCTGTGTCGTTTTATAAATCTATTCAGATTTCATTCTTTGTTAGCTCACTTTACAATTTGTATTCTTTTACTGTATAGACTAAATATATTCTACCTACATGTATGTCAACTCATTAATTTTTTCCTGTGAACAGTATTGGAAAAAACTGAACAGCTGATAATTAAATGAATTAACTGTCTCCCTTGTCTTAGGGTTTTCTGTGTAGATCAATTGCAGATTTCTTAAACCTGAATGATCTTTACACTGTAATTCTCAGTATACTGATTATGGAGAAACACTTGTTTTGATTTTGTTATACCTGACTTAACTTTATTGCAATATGAATTAATTGCACTGCTAAGTAGGAAGATGTGTAACTTTTATTTGTTGTTATTCACATTTGAATTTTTTTCTGTATAGGCAATATTATAATGACACATTTTACAGATCTTAATGTAGCTTTTCCATATAAATAAAAATGCTTTTTCTACAAAAAAAAAAAATTCTATTCTCCTGCCCTGGCCAGTGTTTCTAAGTGGTTAGAGCATTGGCCTGCTCACTAAAAATAGGTCTTGTGTTTGATTCCCGATTAAGGGTTGCAGGTTCAATCCCCAGCCCTGATTGGGGTGCGTGTGGGAGGCAACCAATTGATGTGCCTCTCTCACATCAATGCTTTTTTATCTCTCTCTCTCCCTTCCCCCTTCCACTCTTATCTAAAAGCAATGGGAAAATATCCTCAGCCCTAACTGGTTTGGCTCAGTGGATAGAGCATCAGCCTGTGGACTGAAGGGTCCCAGGTTTGATTCCAGTCAAGGGCACATGCCCGGGTTGTGGGCTCGATCCCCAGTAGGGGCGTGCAGGAGGCAGCCGATCAATGATTCTCTCATCATTGATGTTTCTATCTCTCTCCCCATCTCCCTTCCTCTCTGAAATCAATTATATATATCCATCCATCCATCCATCCATCCGGTTGGAATAAAAATCTGGAGGGTTAAAAAAAATTACATTGTCCTTATAATGGTCTATCTCAGAAGCTAGATCCGTATATTAAGTTTTTTGCAACAGAAATTCAGGTTCAGGATAGAATAATCATAGATAAAGCTGTATGTTCAAAATAGCTATTCCTTCCATTCCTCTTGCTAAAAGCACAAGGGGATTTTTCCTCACTCTTTACTGTGGGACTTGGTGGGGCTCTTGGAGGTAAAATCCACATAACTATTGGGCTCCTCCCTAAGACTGGCCCCACCCAGAAATTTTTAACTCTCTAGCTTGTTTACACAAAGCCTCCCCCAATTCATCAATTAGTTTAAATTATCCTACCCTCATACTGGCTCTATCAACAGGTTCATTTCCTGAGATCTTTGCTCTTGGTGAGTTGTGATTCTCTGTATCCACCTATCTCGCTAATTCTGCAGGCAGCAGTTTGCCCTACGATTTCTAATGGATCTAAGAAGAATAACTGATGTTTAATTCATCCAGCTTTTTTCTCGTGGGGATGGGAGTGTTGACTTCCAACCCCCTTACATGCCAGAGCAGAAAACCTCAATCTCCTTTTTAGCAACCAATCAGTGAAGAGAGCAGGAAGATCTGCAGGCAAGGAATATATTTGCACAAGGGCACAACTGGTCTTCTTACTAAGGCTGGACCACGTGTTCAGACCAAAGGCCTTCCTGGTTGCGGCATCAAAACAATGCAGATATCCCCTTCTCCAGGAAGCTGACAGGACCACCTAAGCTGGTCAGAACCCCTCCTCTAAACCCTGTGCAGACCTCTATCATTGCACTTTTGTCAGGAATTGGGAGTATTCCTCTCTCTTATTGGTCATCAGGTAAAAGCCAGAAGTCTAATGCCAGAATTGGGTCCAAGGGAAAAGCACAAGCTTGAGCATAAATAGTTCCCAAAATGAAGTATTCCGAGGCCCAAACCAGGGAAAGTAAGACCATCACAGCAAGCCAACAGGAGGGGGTCCACACAACTTCCCAGGGGGACCACACAGAGGGTGAAGTACCTACCCGCTCCCATCCTACATTTGGGATGGGAGTGGGGGAGGAAAGGGTGGACACTTGCAAAACATAATGGAATTATCTCTCTCTGAGGCAGTCTGTGTACTGCTTGAGATCAGGGTGTCAGTTTTCTCAGAACACAGGGTTGGCACAGAGCAGCCTCAGTAAGTACCTGATGGGAACTGATCCTTAGGAAGCCCAGTGCACAATATTGGGTAGCACAAAAAACAACTGGTCAGCTTACAAGCTCTCGTATTGATTTATTCTGGCTCTCCCCTCCATGGAAAGTTGGAGAACAGGCTTCCCCAACTTAGGCAAGTGCTCCATCAAGGGGCACTTCAGCACTGAGGCAAGCATGAGAAGGTCCATCTTTCTTGGAATTGGATGATGAACAATTGAAGCAGGACAAGTGCAGAGCCCAGAGAGAACACACAGAGCTTGGGCACATCCAAGCTGACTACTGGGAGGTCTCAAGGGACCGGCACTAGGCCATGCATATCACAGATGCCCTCAGAAACAGAGACCTAGGCCACAGCAGAGGTGTGCAACAGCAAACGGAGTTTAATCGAGGGTGTAAAAGCAGGGTGACCTTGCCTCTTCAGTTACTTTAACTTCTTTTTTCTTCAGGACGTAGGCAAAAAGGCCTGTTTTCTAATGAGGACCCAGAAATCAGTCTCCATCCCCAAGCTGTCTTATGTGGACTGGTTCAGACCTCTCTCACTCTGGTTGGCCTACAATCCATTTTCAAGCTTTTCCTTCCTTGAGGAGTCTTCTCACATGCATTTATGTTTTGAGGCACTGGATGTAAGGGAAGGCACCTTGGAATTAAGCTGCCTTCACACTAGTTGTTCCCTATGCCTAGAACACTCTTCCCCAGGTCTGCATGGCTAGCTCCCTCACCTCCTGTATCCTTCCAATCTTTCCTCAACTATTACCTTCTCAACAAGGCTCTATTGCAAACTGCTCCCTCTGCCAAGCCCACAGCACTCCTAATCTCCCTTACTTTGTTCTTTTTTATGGCTTTTATCAACATCTCTGTCTTTGAATATGATATGCCTAATGATATCATATAGCATAACAGGCACTGACTGCATCTTAGTATTACTAGAATGTAAGCTCCATAAGAGCAGGAATTTTTATCTATTTTGTTCACTGATCTCCCAAGCACACAGAAACAGCACATAAAAGACACTCAATTAATGAGTGTGCAAATGAAAAGGGAAACCTGTGTTCAGATCCTGCCCTGTCACTTACTAGCCAGCTGTGTGCCTTAGGCAATTTGCTTCCCTGACAGCCTGTGTCTTCATCTATGTGATTGGGATCCGAGCACTCTCCTTGCTAAATTTTGTATGTAAAGCGCCTGGCTGGGTGCTTGGCATTAACATAGTTGATAAATGGCCAGCCAATTGACATAATTACTGTCCCTCTCAAAGTCTTTACCATTATAGTTATAAGTAAGTACCCTTTACCTGGGCAATTAATGTGGTGAAGCCTTCAGGCCTGGGCTGTGATTAAGGGATGAGGCCATGAGGATGTAAAAAACTCAAAGATGTCAGGATTCTCTCTTTCCTGTACCAGCTGAGCTGGCTCAAGAAAAAGCTAGTCTCAGGCTTCCAGCAACCCCCACACTTCATTTACATAGCAGCAGATCTGGAACAAATCTTCTGATCTCATGAGAAATCTGAACCCTCCTTTAACCTACTATACCACCTTTGACACCATCGATTTTCAAGGCCCTCTGACCACCAGGGATCAAGCCTGCAGCAGGAAAAGGGACTCAGAGCTCACCAGGACCTCACAGATGTGTGGTGAGGATCAGGCCAGTACATGCACAGGACACTCCTCCTACTGCTTGGCACCTGTGGGATAAAAAGAAAATGCTAGGGAGTAGGTTCCCCAATCAGAGGCTAGGGTCCCAGATTCTGGAGCCAGCCTGGGTTCAAGTTCTGCCTCCACTACTCAATAGTTGCAAATGCATTGGTTTCCTAAGGTCTGCAAGCTTCAGTATGCTTAGCTGTAAAATGAAGCTATTAACAGTGCCCACTTCACTGGATTAAGTGAGATATGCTTATGAAGTGCCTTAGCACACTGCCTGGCACCCACCTACAATACTGATCATTTGCTCCCTCAGAGCCCTTTAAACACCAGGTGAGTGCTCTGGGACCACCTTGCCAGAGGTGGCTTTGCCAGTATGAACCATATAAACCAAGGCTGTGAGGTAGGAAGAGGTGAAATATAACCATGCCTTCAGGACTGTTCAACTCAGCCAGTCAGAGAGGAGACAGTTTTCTCTAAATTCTGAAATTTTAACTTCTAATCCTCTCTAAAAAACTGATTCTGCAAACTATAATCTTCAGCTGGTTGCCAGAACTTACAGTGTTTATATGTGTTGTACATGTGTATAATAAGTCAAGAATTGCAATTTGTTTGTGTCTTCACTCACTCAACAAATATTACCAAGACACCACTGTGCCCCTTGCCTTCTGCTAGGCCCCTGTAATGGGATACACCCTCTGTTCTCAAGGAGCTCACATGTTGTGAGGGAGATGAACATGCAAACAATCCGAATAGGATTGGCACAGCTGTTTTTTCAATCCTCATCCAAGAATATGTTTTTATTGATTTGAGAGAGAGAGAGAGAGAGAGAGAAATAGAGATGTGTGAAACATCCATCAATGTGAGAGAGAAACATTAATCCGAGAGAGAGAGAGAGAGAGAGAGAGAAAGAAATAGAGATGTGAGAGAGAAACATCCATCAGTGCCTCCCATATGCACCCTAAGCGAGGATCAAACCTGCAACCCAGGTATGTGCCCTGACCAGGAATTGAATCTGAAACCTGTTGGTGTATGGGTCAACGCTCCAACCGAGCCACCTGGCCATGGCAGATTGGCACAGTATTTTGCCAGAAACATGCTGAGGGTACAATGCAAGCTTGGCAGAAGAGCAAAGAAGGGGAGCTTAGAACAAGCTTCTTAGAACTTCTGGGCTGTTTTGAAAGATGAGTAGAATGCAGTAGGGAGGAAGGCAGAGGCAGAGGCAGAGGCCATGCACTTCTGCATTTAGTTCTGCTCAGCTGGATCTCTCAGCTGGGGAGGTCACTGGAGAGGCCCATCTGTGCAGGCTCTTGAATACAAAGGAGCATAATGTGATCCATATTTATGTGAAAACCAGGAGTTTGGACTTTATCCTGAAGGCTGTGAGGAGCCATTGCACAATTTATAAGCAAGGTAGAGCCTGGCATGCTATTAATTTAGTTTTAAAATTACTCATTCCACCCTAGTTGGTTAGACTCAGTGGACAGAGCGTCAGCCTGCTGACTGAAGGGTCCCAGGTTTGATTCCGGTCAAGGGCACATGCCTGGGTTATAGGCTCCATCCTCAGTAGGGGGTGTGCAGGAGGCAGCCAATCAATGATTCTCTCTCTCTCTCCCTCTCCCTTCCTCTCTGAAATCAATAAAAGTATATATAAAAATAAATACTTAAAACAAAATAACTCATTTCTCAAGATAGAAACATATAGTACACATGCACTTAAAACAATTTATAGTGAAAAAGCTAGGTCTCCCTCTCCTTCCTTTTCCCCAGCTATGCAGTTCCCCAGCCCAGAGGCCACACTGTTACCACTTGATTACTTCGTTAGTCTTCTAGTATTATTTCTTTTTTAAAATTGATTTTAGAGAGGAAGAGAGAGAGGGAGAGAAAAAAAATCAATGTGAGAGAGAAACATTAATCGATTGCCTCTCCTTTGTACCCAAGCAGGGATCGAACCCAAAACCTGGGTATGTGCCCTGACTGGAAATCTAACCAGCGACCTTTCTTTCTTTCTTTTTTTTATCTTCCTAATTTGTTTTTATTTTTTATTATTGTCTAAAGTTTTACATATGTCTTTTTCCCTAATTGACCCTCCCCCACCCCCCCACAGCCATTCCCACCCCACTGCCCCAGTGCTTATGTCCATTGGATATGCTAATATGTATGCATACAAGTCCTTTGGTTGCTCTCTAACCGCCCCGCCCCTACCATTTGTCTCTGACCAGGGACCTTTCTTGATGCATGGGACAGAGCTCAAACCAACTGAGCCCCACTGGCCAGGGCCTATTATTCCTTCTTCTATCATTATAATAGCTCAGGAGTAGATATCCAGAAGCTAATGATAGAAGAAGCTATTTATAGTCTTATAATGATTTTGGCTGAAATGGTGTGGAATCGCATGCAGTTGTCTGAAAATTTTATCCCAATGAAGTAAAGGAAACATTATAAAATATTAGTTCTGAAAGGGGGCATTCAGTCTGATGGGACTGAAAATCTCTGAGATATAGAGCCTATCTAATAATAGACAAACATGGTAATTAACTGTACCTCCGACACACTTCCCATTGGCTAATCAGGGTGATATGCAAATTAACTGCTAACCAAGATGGTGGCCGGCAGCCAGGCAGCTGAAGCGAACAGGAGACTTGCTTGCTCCAGTGATGGAGGAAGCCAAGGTTCCCCGCCTGCCGCCGCCCAGCTCTGAGCTGCACTCTAAGCAACTATGTTGCAATTATAGAAGCTAAACAATCCCCAGAAACCTGCTTTCAGCCAGCCAGGCCTCAGAGCTGGAGTTGCAACAGTGTTTCAATTATAGAAGCTAAACAAAGCCCAGATACCTGCTTTCAGCAGCAGAGGCCTCAGAGCAGGAGCCGAGCCTCAGAGCTAAAGC